ATTCCAGTGAAACATTTCCTTTCACCCCTATGGAAAAAAGGCTCCAAACGTTACAGGGCTTCTTACCTCAAAGTAGGTTGGGTCTGGGCTCTGGATGTACAGGAGCTTGGAAAACCTACCTGGGGAAAAATCATTATCCTACTGTAAATATCTAAGTGAGCACAGACTATATTCTGCTGACCCAGAGGAATTACTAGCATCCCCTGTGAGGCTGTGATCTTCTCTCTGGGTTGCCTAGTAGCTCTGAGGCTGTAATTAGATTTGAATGGACAGAAGGCTGCAGAGAGAACCTTACATTTTCTTCTGAACAAGTGTATAGCCTGAAGTTGTGTTTTTCAAAACCAGCTAAGGGATTAGGCCACACAACTCCCATTAATTCCAATGGAAACTGCAAAGTTTATTTCACTCAGCAGCTCAGTCTGAGCCTGCAACCTCTTACTCATGGGTAGAACACAGGCCTGGATAGCTGTTGTCACATTTTTAGCATCATGTCATATAGTGCAATGAAACGATAACACAAATTAAAAGGAACCACAACTAGCAGAAGAATGACACACTGTTCTACAGTCAGTTGCATTTGAAAGGCCTGATCTCCTTAGGAGCGGAGCATCTTTTCAGTGAGACTGAGAGCACGGCACTCCAAACATGCATCTCCTGGTGCCTTCAGACGGAGACAAGAGGCTTCTCTGGATTATAGTTTCTAATCAAACCTGGGCCCTGCACAGGTTTCAGTGGTCTGTGTTCTACTGGAGGTCAGACTAGCTGATCTAGTGGTCCTTCCTGACCTTCAAATGTATGATTTAGTGTCACAGGAGCTGCTAAACAAGACATCCTTATGTAGCAGAAAATGTCTGAGGACCCTCTAACTTGGCATGTCTCTCCAGGAGGGATTAATGGAATGACTAAGGAGCAGGGAGTTGAGACTTCCTCCACCAGAGCCTCATCTGACATTGGCATTGAACAGATTAAGCAATTTCTTAATTTCTTTCTCCTACCATGTTTCCAGAAACCCTTTTAGGGCTGGATCCAAGATCCATGTAAATCAGCAGGAGTCTTTTCATGGGCTTCAGTGTGGGCTTTGGATCAGTCGCTGGATAAATAAACAGAAGGAAATAACAAATCACATGCTTCTAACTCGTATTTTAAATAGCCTAAATGTCTGACTCCTGCTCTGACTCTGTCCAAATCCTATGCAGGAAAATATTTCTCTATTTCCATGATGTCTACATTCACTTTTCCCCAGTGATTAGGAGTGTTAATAGCTGGCATCTTGGTCCAAGCCTATATCTGGCCTAGAAGGAAAAAATATATGTAATTTCTCTAGTGGGAAGTAAAATGCTATGGCTGTTGGTTTCACGCAGTAAGTTTATTGCTTGTATGAAAAGAAGCCATCCTTTTGCAGACTGAGTTCCATTACCCTGGGGTAATGCAGACTGAGAGCCTCACCCTGCTTACTGCCGAATGTGAAGGAGTCTCTCTCTAAAAGCAAATTATATGTTGGTAATCATTTCAAGGGGTTTCTTGCATCTATGATGAGGTTACCCAGTCTGCTTCTTTGGTGTTGCCTTGCAGTACCACCTGCTGGATAAATGTGGAAATTAAGCAGTAGTAGTAAGGCTGGAGTGAAATGAAGCCGTCTATTTCTGGTTGTTAAGGACATGTTGCAGGTGTCATAGGGATTGGGTAATGTTTTGGTACCTGGCTAGTGCCTTTAATTCTTTACATTCAAACTTTCTGAACCTTGTTGAAGTGCATATGGAAGAAGTCATGAGAAGGTTTGTTGCAAATGCTGGAAAACCATGACTGCAACTTGATTTTTTTTTTTCAATCAAAGAGCAGGATCTGAGGGACTCCCCTCCTCAGTTCAACACACATGTTGCAACTTGGCAACCCCTCTGGAGTAGGGATGAGACAGACCCCTCTCCTTCCACTGGAGCAGTTAGCAGCATGCCTCGTGAAACTCATGGCTTTTCTCAGCCCACCTGCAAGGAAACCAGGCTGTGCATGGAATTAGATTTATTTAGATCATGAGAGATCATTTTGCTCATCATTGGAAAGTAGCTGCCTCTGCAGCAAACATCAGCTGTCTTTTCACAGTGGATGGCAACACCCTGGGAGAAATTCCATGTGGCTGCTCTGATTTTAAAGCAATCAGTTCTTGTTGCCACCTGAATGGAGCCAGTGGGGACCAGTGCTGTGTTATGTGGCTTCTGGCTGTAATAAGATGCAACTGCAGCTCTGCGGGGCGTGTAAGCACTGGATGTTAGCCTGCAGCTGCTCCATACCTGCTGCAGAGCTGTGCTCAGCACCAGGAATCATAACAGCTTCTTTTCTCATTTCTGAGCTCTCTGCTTCTAATTTGTGGGGCCCCCAAATGAATAACTCCTTGGCCCTGAATATCAGACACCCTGGCATGATGCACTGTGTGCTTAACCCAGTAGGGCTGCAGCTGGGGAAGGGGTGGGGGAAGATGGTGGGGGTGCAGAAAAGTGGCCTGGCTTACCCTAGAGCCAGTAGAGAGGGAGAGCCATGGAGTAATTAATATCGCACAGCAGCTGATGGTGGGAAAAGGAGGTTGTTGTGAATATTAATGAGGGAGAAGGCTAGGGGAAGTTTACTTAGATCCTAGAGGCCGAGTCCCAGGCAGCAGCTCTAGCTTTTCCTGTGACCTAGTTTCTTCTTATTCTTCAGGGGCCCTGAATTCTGCCATGAAAGGATTGAGATCATTGCTGGCACAGGCAGGCTGACCACTGCCAGTCACAGGCTGTGTCTGCGATGGGCTAGGCAGAAGGTTGCAAGAGAAAATGATGGATCCCCTGGCCTGAAAAATCTAATAAAGTGATAGGCTGTAATGGTCAGAATGAAAAGCCCCATCCTTGGTGCCTTCTTCAGCCCTAAGGTGATGGCTTTGCAGGCCCAGAGAGCTCAGCTCAGTTTTACTGGAGAGTCTGGAGACTCCCACACATGCCCTAGGTCAAGATACAAGTGGTGCTGCCCCCCCATTATAATTAGGGGCCATGGTCTGAAAACTGAGTCCATTTGGCTCTGGATTTAGTGGTTCATCTCTTCCTGGCCTCTCCATGTGGCAAAATGGTTACCAGGCCAGTGCCTTCTCCCATGGGAATGCATGAAGTGTGTGGGATTCCAGACAAGCCAGGCGTTAGACATGCATCTGCCCCAGGGTGAAAAGGGTCTAAATATTTGCTTTTATCACTTGCCAGATACTTCTGAATATATTCTGTCCTCTTTCTCAGATATGAAGCCTGGGAACAGCCTGGGTTAGCCAAACCCTTTCTAGGCCAACTTGTCCTGCTCTGCACAGTGGGTGATGCCTCCCACCCCATTATGCTTCTGAGTTGCAGTGCCCAGGAAAATAGTAATGGAAAGGGTTAAAAGGTGGGATGTGAGGAGTAGGAGAAAGAAAATAGGAAGCAGAGGGACAAATATAGGTCCCCTGTGGATTTGATGTTCATCAGGGGAGGAGCTCTCTGGCTGCAGCTACATCTCTGTAGGTTTTGGAGCTGCAGAAATAATTGATAATCCCATGGAGAAATACACACAGGACACGTCACATCCTCTGGGTTGTATTGGCAGCTCTAGAAGCGCTTCATTAACCCCTGTGGTACTGAGCTCTACTGCAGCCTCTGTAGCAATGGAATATGGCAGCATTGCGCTAAGCACTGACCTGCCTTTCTCTAAGGGGTGAGGCAGAAGAGAGAGACAGCTGGAGGGATGCTGGGTCTAAGAGGCAATGTGGAGGTGCTAAAACTACCGTGTGAAATAAAGCAGCAGGAACTACAAATGCATTTTAGGTCTGGATGTAGTAAAGCAAGTGTTTTGCTCCCCCTCCCACTGTGGTGCCCCTTGTTGTAGTTATCCAAGGGCATTCTGAAATCAAATGGTTCCCATCACAAGCATAGACAAGAGTGCTGCCATACCAGCCAGCTCTGAATATATTTGGAGCATGAAGTAAAGCTATGCATTAACTGCTGTCAGCAGATTCAACAAAGCAAGAAGTTAGCTTGGATTCTAATGGGCACATTCAATACATTCACATATCTCACACCCCTCATCCTTTATGGCATTGTAGCCCTTGTCTGTGGTTCCTCTGGAAGCCCGGGGCAATATGATTCCTCTCGCTCTCACATCCCAGAAGGAACAACCCAAGTATCTCCCCAGCTGTTGGCTCCACTGCCTCCTTCTAGCTGAACTTGTGAGGGACCAATGTATAGCTGGGCAGGGAGGCTCAAGCAGAGGGGAGGAAGAGGGGGCTTGTCTCTAGCTCTGATAGACCAGGATTAGGAGCCAATGACTCTGGATTCACCTCATGCTCAGTCCAGTGTCACCCATGCCCTGCTTTCCAGAGATGATCACAGCCACCTTGCCCAGTGGGCTCCACAAGTGCTCAGCCTCCTTGCAATTCAGGCTTGGAGTCTGAAGCTACAGAGGAGCTTGGGAGAATGGGATGCTGGTGCCCTCTTCTTTCTCCCCTCCCTCCGGGGTGTGTGAAGCTTAATTCAAGCATGTTCCTGTGCTGCTTTGAGATCCCTGAAACAGGAGGGTGTACTAGGAGGGACCTCACTTTCCCCCCCACTAATGTTTTCTCTTTGGACTCCAGTTCTAGGGTTCTGGTGGAGCTGGCCATGATGTTATGGTTCCTGGTAGGTGCCCTTTTCCCAGCTGTGATCCTGACTGCGCCGCCTCCCATTAACAAACTGGCCCTCTTCCCGGACAAGAGCGCTTGGTGTGAGGCGAAGAATATCACCCAGATTGTGGGACACAGCGGCTGCGAGTCCAAGTCCATCCAGAACAGGTACAGGAAGGCCTGGGTGAAGCCCAGCCTACAAGAGACATAAAGGCAGGCTGGAGATGGGAGTGCATTCATTTGGGGGGTGATCGCTCTGGAAGATGCCACAACTGTGACTTCCCTGTGCACCGCTGCAGGATAGCATCAGAACTGCTCTACTCTGGGTTATAAGCCCTGCATCTCAACTGTTTTTCCTCCAGTGGCAAAAGGCAGGGCTTTTTAAGTAGGAAGGTCTGAGTTCTAGCCCCACAAACCACTGACATCTCTGGTGGCCGTGATGTTCAGCATAATGCCCACCTAGCAAGCCATGGACTTGTGACAGTGCAGCTTGATCTTGTGAAGCTGGCTCACCCTGTGTCCTCCATTGCCCAGGAGGTCCCAGTGTTTAAAGCAGAGGCAGGGAGGCTAGTCCTTCACTTCCTTCCAAGACTTTGGGTCCTGCCTCTGCTTCTGTGGCCCATTGGGTCCCATTCCCCCTGCAGTACACACACACAACTCATGGGGGTGGGGAGGAGAAGGATACTAGTTGGTGGAGCAACTCGGGGTCCTGGCTGCTTCCTCACCATGACACCTTTCTGTCCACCTGTCTCCAGTCTACCCTGGCAGAAGACCATGACCTCACTGTTTATTACAGCCCCTTGTGTTTCCAGACTCCTAGGTGGGAAGCATATTGAACAGGGCTGGCATCAAGCCCTAGTTCCTCCTAGAGCTCTGGTACCAGGGCTTTACTCTTGCCTTGTCTTTGCAGGGCCTGCTTGGGACAGTGCTTCAGCTACAGCGTCCCCAACACCTTCCCTCAGTCTACAGAGTCCCTGGTGCACTGTGACTCCTGCATGCCTGCACAGTCCATGTGGGAAATTGTAAGTAACACCTGCACTAAGGCGCTTGCAGTGGTCGAGGGTGATCAGCTTTGTGCTTCAGACCTAAGCCTTGGATGAGCTCTGCCACTAGCAAGTTTTTTTCCCTTTTCTGCACCTCAGTTTTCCTATCTATAGCCTGGGAACATTAATTCTGACCTTCCTGGCCAGGTAATTAATGGCTGTCTCTCTAGGACCTTGCCATCTTTTGATGAAAGGCAATGTTATTGCTATGCATATTAGAAAAATACATAACTATATTAGCTGCACCATCCCCCATGGTTCAATGCATTATTCATTTCTGTTCACACCCACATGCCCTCTCTTCAGAACATTCCCTTTGTCTCTTTCTCCCACTCCTGGCTTTTTGTCTTCTTTTGTGCCCAGAACGGCTTCCCACATCCCATCTGCCAGTCACCCGCTGCTCTCCTGGTTGACAACAGATCCGCACCTTCTCACTCCAGAATTGTTGCAGTGAGACTGTAAACTAGCTGCGTATGAGACCTTGCCTTCCTCACTGGCTTGGCAAATCCCCATGGTGCTCTGGGGACTGATGCATGCAGCTGTGGAGCCCAGACTAAGTCATGGGGCTGAGTGTCAAGAGAGCTGGATTCTCTTCTCAGGTCTGCCATTGACTCAGTGATGGACCTTAGGGCAGAAGCAGCCTCTGACTGTGAGCCCCCAGCTGACCACACCTAGCGTAGCATTTACAAGGGCCTTCCAAGACTATGATGGCATATTTCTGTGGTGATAATACCTGATCAGGGACCCATTGCACAAAGCATTGTACAAATGCAATAGCCACCAGTCTGGCTAACAGCAGAGACTGATCCAGGAATTTCTGGACTTAAGACCACAAGTCTGTCCAGCTTGAGAGCACCTTGTGGTTACACAAACCCATAGGAAATGACAGTTTCTGAGCCAAAGAGTTTAAAATAAGAAAGGCATAGTGGTGTGGTTCAGAGTAGAGGCCTATAGCTGGCTGGATAGTTGGGTTGGGAGTGGGGCAGAAGAACTAGCTCCCACTCTCTTGCAATGTCCCTTTCTGATCCAGGTGACGTTGGACTGCCCAGGCAATGATGAGATTCCCAGAGTCGACAAGCTGGTGGAGAAGATCCTCCACTGCAGCTGCCAGGCCTGTGGGAAGGAGCCAAGCCATGAGGGGGCCCTGTTCAATGTCTACCTGAACGCGGAGGAGAACATGCCTGCTGAGGGCCCTGGCCCTCATCACTATGCCCACCACCAGCAAGAGGTGGAAGAAGCTCCCGTCTCCAACCACCACCACCATGAGGAGGAGGGCGAGGAGTGACCCACACCCTCTGGAACTGTCCTTACAGCCTGCAGTGTGGACAGGGGGCTTGCGCAAGGGAGGGGGTGGGCTGGGGGGGATCTTTCCTGTTTAATTACTACCCATCATGCTTTGCTCTTAGTGGTGCCCTGGGGTCAGAAAGTCCAAGGCACGGACTGGGCTTGGGCTGAGACCTGGGGATGGAGCCGTAGAGGGCTCTGAAGAAACACCACTTGCACATAATAGCAATAATATATTGCAAAGAGGCAGGAGGCTGAACAGAGGGGCAGCAGCTGGGGGCAGGGCTGGGACTTGTCTCCTCAGGGGCTGAGTGTCAGGGCACAGGCTGGCTTTGCGGGGTCAGAAGTGGCCTTTGGAGTCTCTTTCTCTCTTCTTTAAATGTCTCCCACAGAGGAGCTGATTCTTCCTGCTCCATGACAGTGCGGGCTTCCCTCTCCCTTCCTCTGCCACTCTCCCAGGGTGCGGGTAGAGCTAACGCTCCCCCTCCTGCTGCCTTCTTGGGCTGTGGGGTAGAGTCATCAGCTCTGAGGCCACCGCTAGGGGATAAGAAAATAATTCATTTCTCATGCCCCTACTCTGGATTTGTGCAGCATTTACTTCAGACTTTGCCATTGGATGTGGCTCCAGGGATGGAAGTGAGGGGACGCTCAGGGCTCGATCCATGGTGGCCTTCCTTGTGCCAGATACAGGAGGGATGGAGACAGTGTTGGCTGCCCGCTGGGAACTGGAGGAGAGCACAGGCACATCCAGCACTAGGCACTGCCAACAGGAGGGCGTGAGCACATCCATTGGACACAATATGCCGGTGGCCTTTGGACGCTATATCTCTCCAATGCCCCTTCAGTCAATGTTTCTTTGCCTCGCTGTGTTCAGTGAACAGTGTTTCTGGCCTCACCCCATTTCCAGGATCCTCTCTCTTATCTCCTTGAGTTTACTGTTGGGCCCTGGTGCTCACTCTTGTCCCATGTAGCAATGATAAAGGTCAAAGAAGGGTGCAGCAAGGGGCTAGGAGGGACTGTTCTCCCTGACTGCTGAGTCTGATTCTGCTCCATGTACCATGGCCAGCCAGCCATGAAGGAAGAGCTCCTCTGGCAGAAGGCTGGGCCTGTAGGGTTAATGTGGACAGTGGCAAGAAGACGGGACCAGTGGGAGGCCGTTCTCACTCAAAGGAGTGGAGAATCCAGTTGGCACCAGTGTCCCCAGTAGGCCTTAAGGCCTACAATTTTACATGTGGACCCAGGAACCTCCCTTCATCTCCTCTTCCCTGTTGCTCAACCACCTGTTCTGCCTTATTTGCCTGGTGTTGCAGGGACCTGTTGGGTATGGAGGTCTCTGCTCAGCTTGGCACCTGTGAGAGGCTCACCTGCCCTTGCATACTTTATTTTCAGTTCATTGCCTTGGGTAGGGAAGGGCACAGTCCCCAGAAAAGAGGGAGCCAGGATGTGCTATAAGCACTGGGGATCCTTGCTCAGAACCAAGTATGACCGAGGCAGCGACAGACCAGGCACAGGCAGCATCCCCTTACCAGGGGAGCCTGGGCCAGAACTGGTGCATGTGCACAGAGACTGCTCCTGCCCTGCTTTGCCCCTGCCATGGCTCCCCTGCAGCACTTTAACAGATGGTGGAGGGTGGGGGTGACGAGATTGTTCCCAGGCGCCCCTTCACACTGCAGGGGATCGGGAAGGCTCTTGGATAGACACATGTTGCGGGACCTGGCTGCCAAGCCCTCCCTCCTGCTAGCCACCTTCACTCTGCTGTACAAAGCTGATCTCTGTCGCTTTTCTGACAAAAGCTTCCAGAGCTTGTAACCAATATATATATTTCGGCCGGAAATATATATATTTCCTTTACACCGTTTGTTCCCCTTGAATAAATTAGTTTGAACTTCAATTTCTCATCTATTTGTGGCTTTTTCATCTGGGACAAAATATGACCCTGGTTTGAGTGTATACTTCTCAACCGATGCCCAAGGAGCTGCATGGGTATCTGTCTGGCCCTGTGAATCTATTCCCAGCCAAGCTAGAGCCAAATGGAAGCTGGCACAGACCAGGCCAAGGCATGTGGGCACCACACAGCATGGGATACCTCTGCTGTATTTATCCTGCTGGTGGAAGTTGTTTAAAATAATAGCAATGTATGAATAACTGCAGCCGTAAGACATGATTACAGAGTGAGTCAGCTACTAGCCTAGGTGGGAACAGTTGATAATACGCTTCACTCCACCTTGAAGTTTGAATACCCAATACTATGGGTATTCCCAAGAGAAGGACCAACACACATAGATCCCCAGGGAAAACTGAGCTGGTTTACCCATCTTGCCACTAGATGCCACCCTTGATCCAGTGAAAGCTTTCATGAAGGGCCGGGCCTCTTAGCTGGATGAGCACACTGTTTATTACATCTTCCCTTGAGGGTAAGAGAGGTGGGATCCAAAAATCAGTGGGGAATTTGCAAACGGCACCTGTTTCTGAAGGGATAGGGCTATGGCAGGGAGGATTTAACCACAGGGGCACTGACCCTGCAAGAAATAGGGGCCTTCTCGGGGTTGCTGGATACCCTCTCCACCTGTTGCCATCAACCCCTTGAAGGGCTGTGCTTTGAAAAGCAGCTGACCACACCTTCCCATCTGAGCCTCCCCCTGGAGTGAGTTGCTTATGGGGATGGGGATGGGATTTTGTCCTCGAACCATGCGTGGCTGCTGTGTAACACCCACTACATTTCTTCTTGTCTCTTTT